GTTTCCATGGGGCAATTTAGACTAACGTTTAACTACGGGACCCATAAAAGCATAAATAAAGTGGTAGAACGGAATTTCGTACTTCTTTAAATACAAAGCTACGTTTTGTATTACATTACAATGCACATATGTGTTTTCTCTTATATTTAGCAGAGTTTAGTCTATTATATACTAAACTACTACTATAATTTCTTTGGTTATAAACATCATTAATAAAGTTTGGATTGTTACAAGATCTGTAGTGAGGTGCAGTGATCACACAGGCACCAGCACATAAATAAGAACAGTGACTCAGAGGAGAAACATTTGGCAGTTACATAAGAAAAATACTTAAGTACCTGTACTGAGGCACTCTTCCCAAACTCAAACAGCTGTACTGTCCTGTGCATCAGATTAAAGACTTTAGCCCTGAGAGCTGGTATTTATGACTTCCTCCAGTGTTGCCCATGTTGTGCATTCAGGCTGATCCCATTTAAATGAATGACACTTTCTTATTCACACTGACTGCCGTATGTCATTTTGACTGGGGAAATATAGGCAGAATTAAGTTGCACATATTTAAAGTTGGGCAAAAATGTATCCAAATGTGTCCAAGAAAGGATCTTCTGTACAGTGGGATAGCCAGAAATAGATTTGTGTAGTTAAAAAAAATAATAATTTCGGCAGATTTAAAAGTAGCCTAATGATGATAATGACGTTTTGTTATGTTTAGCAAGACACATGCATCTCAGACTGAGTGCAGTGATTTGTGTGGTGCGGTTTTATCCCTTCTGTGCCCTCTGCACACTTTGCAAAAATGAAACTTAATATTACTAGAATTTAGAATACCTCTTCAAGATATTGTACAGACAGTAAAGTGTTTTGTGTACGTGAGCCTTTTCATAGATTCCCCATGGCTACAGTAAACGCTGCACAAGACTCCTGTTTCATTCAAACCTACTTCAGTTGATATTATGTTACACTCCGCAGAGCATTACATGTGTGGGCTCCTGCTTTGGTCACACAATGGGTAGTGCACACTAACATCTTTATTATTATTATTTTATTTTATTTTTACAGATATAAAATTTGCTCAACCTGGAAACTTACATGTGCATTTTGGGTAGTGTAATTTCAACATAACAATTACTCTCACCTTAGATTTCAGTTCTAAGTAAGAAATCATGTCATAGAAATATAATCCTGTTTGATGTAGTTACATGCAATTTCTTGGAGTTGAAAATCTCACCACACCCTTCTTTATTACGCTTTCTGTTAGTGTTATTAACAGGCCCAAGGTCACACCAGTATGAATATAAACCTGCTTTACCACTGCCAGCAGAAGGACAAATGTTATTGTGGAAAGAGTGACCACATAATTGATTCCATGACAAGAACATTATGAATAGCCACCCACATAAACATTTCCATTATGAATTATAATTTATGGAAGCTGTCTGGTACATTTGTTTTGTTTTAGATTTGTTAACAAAATTATTTTTAGATTGTCATCCTTAAACTGCATTGCTAACAGGTCTTATACAAAAGAAACAAAACGCACACCAAGATTCCTGCAGAGGTGCAAATGCAAGGAGTAGCCAAGACCAGGGTGAAAAAATGCATAGCACACTCGGTTGGCCGATGTCCAAATACTTTTTTACTAACAAAATAACATTTTTGCCGAAACGTTATTTTGTTAATAAAAAAGTATGTGGACATCGGCCAACCAAGTGTGCTATGCATTTTTTTCACAACAGGTCTTATACAACCATGTTTTAGTCTGAATATTTAACTCATTCCTTGGGTCATTATCAACTGACTCCATAGTACGTCCACCTCTGAGTTTAATTTGTATATTTGGAATGTGCATATTTCATTTACAAAAAATTATATCCCTATGGCACGTACATTCATTTTTCACTTCTCACATCTTTGGTAAAGTCAATATTCAGATACCTCTCTCCTCTCTGCTGCACAGGTCGCAGACATTAAAAATGGGTGCATGTTCTTAGAAAGCTGGAGCTTCTGCGAATGGCAAACCTCCTGTATTATACTCTGAGCTCGTAGTAAGAATAGGAGGTGCACTGTGGACGAATGTCAGTGCTCAGAGTCTTCTCAAGCACAAAGAAAAGAGAGGATCCAGCTTGTACTGGCCAGAGGGCTTAGCTTGTAGTTTGGGACTGCACAGTGCGAGGCTAGAAGTGGGTTGTGGATTACAGTGTGTAGTTGGGTCAGCTCTGCAATGTCTAAATGTTGTTGTGAGTTTGTGTTGGGGCCTGATCAGACTGGCAATGTTTAATGCAGAGGCCTCACCAGAAACAACTGTAACAAGATTTGGGTCCATGACAGAGAGGCAAGACAGGATTTGTATGCAATTAATAATTCATAAATTGTGCTGCTCAGGTTACAATTTTGGGCTCAGTTTTTATTTTATTTTGTCCTAAAAATTATTTTTGCTGCTCATTTTAACAGTTCACCTTCTCGAGGCCCTTCTATTTTGTCAAACCCAAATGTTTGTTATGAGTACATGGAAAATATGTATTCATGATGTGTCCATATAGGCTTGTGGCAATTTAATCTTGCGAGATCTTGTCCCTTCCCTAATGACTATGTATTTAATCCGATTGTCTTGATACATAGACCTATGTTGCAATTGACTGTAATACTCTCCATTATCAGCATGGATCACCCCACTCACCATAATCTAATCTTTTGTGCATGAAATCCCTTTGACGCTGCTCTATCAGTTCTACTAATTGATCTGTAACAAGTGATTAAAAGCAAACGAGATTTAAGGAATCAGATTCAGCTGGCACATGATTATTGCAGATAAATTACTCGTTTAGTCTATAGTTTCACTTACTTCTCTTACTTGTTGCTACAGAAACTAAATATATCAGCTTTGTTGTTTGTATTCTGTAGTTAATGTGTTTTTTTTTTCTTTGTAAATGTTTTGAAACATGATTTGCCATAGAAATTGTTCACCTGCTGCTGCTGCTCATGCTGTAATCTCTCTGTAATCTGTTTTTCGGCCTGTCACATATTTAAGTGCTTAAGAAATATTGCTGAGGAAAATGATAATATTGGAATTTATGCCACTAATACAATAAATAACCAAAGAGAAGATTTGTACTACAAAATTGATTCTAAATTTAAAATATGGTTAAAAACACAAACTGCACTAAATAAATAACAGAATGAAACACTTTAACACAATAAATTTGTATCAATCTCTCTATGAATGAGTCACAGACATAATTTACTCAACCTGTACAGCTCAGAACTACAGAACAGAAAAATACCAAAAGTTCCCCACTAGTGTGAAGAAAAAGGGACCAAGATAAATATTGATCCTCAAAAATTATTGTTCCATCTAACATATTGAACAATAACTCAATATAGTAATTATCGTGAAAGGCCTATATATTATGCAAGAGAGTTGTGGATTACTGACTATAAAGGAGTCCATTAAGGCAAAAAGATTTATTTCTGTATCATTTAGTTTAAGCATTATTTTTCCATTTTGTTTTACTATTACCTCAATAGTCTTAAGTCATTTATTTAGCAAAGGCAACTCTTATTTGCCTTCCCACTGTTGACATTTGTATGTTGACTCACTATTACTTCAAAGCTCTGGACCTCCCTTGACCCATTTTACCAGTCACTTGACCCATTTTAATCCCAGTCTTGTATAACTAGGTTATTCACTCTACACCCTCACAGTGAACCCCACTTGACCATTTCCCCTCATAAACAAAACTCTCTCACACACACAGACCCTTTCATCCGAGCACTGCGTTCAGCTCGTGGCCTAAATACTTTTCCCATGGGAACATCAGAACAAGGAGAAACTGATTCTTCCCAAACCCAGTCCGTCTCTCCTGGGATGTGTCTGTGTTTCCCTCCCATTGACTCCTCTGTCTGGGAAATCAATAGAGCATTCTACAGGGACCACCCGTATAGACTCTTTCGTGGCTGTATTTGCTCATTTAACCATTTATTTACAGTACATACATGTTTGGTACACTGAGCTATGGGTCTCCAGTAAGTACGTGTTTAATTGTGTGTTATTCCAGATTTTGATGCACTTTTGAATGTTTTGCCAATGTTTGTTATTTTTTCTGATAATTTTTGAGTCAGAACATTTTCTTTTTTTAAGTTATGTGTGTAGTGTGCATTTGTGTTGTTTGTGTTACGTTGCAGGTGATGCAGTACGCTGGCTGTGGTTCTAGGCTAGTGCATACCATTGTTCTGTCCTTGGACAAGACACTTCACCCACCTTGCCTAGTATGAATGTGGTGTGTGAGTGATTGTGTTGGGCTGGGGGGCTGATGATGCAGATTAAAGGGCTGATATTACAGTATCACATAATATATATCATAGGTTTATATGTGATATATCATTACATACATACCTGGATTTGTGTTTTGTTTCATTAATTCTTAAACCCTGCATATTTAGACTTTAGAGTTCTTCTCTCAAACAGAAAATACCTTGTGATGTCATGTGGCAATACAGGAAGTGCTCCACTGTGTTTTTAAATACATACTAGAATTTTCATCTTTCTCACCTGGAATTGCCAATCTCGACTAAACTAAAAGTAAAAGGAGCTGGTAACTTGAAAACTACCGCTTCAGGACATCACAAAGTGGAACAGAGCATTTTGAGCTTTGGAGACTAATAATAAATTTTTAAAATATATTATTCAGTCATGTGGGAAAGAAACAAAATGCAACTCCAGGTGTGTTTTTGATGAGGTAACAACATTATAGCATGACTTATTGCTCACAGGAGTTAGTTTTGTGTAATATATGACCTTTAACAGCTTCCATCAGTCTGTTCCTGGGCAGCTGTGGCTAAATCTTGCAATATAAAGCGTTCCGGGTGTCTTCAAAAGTGTGAAAGATATAGATAGATGGATTTTACATTTAGCAAATAGTCGGACACTTGAGCAATTATCTGGCACTCTTATTTATTTTACTTTGAACTGAAATATGGATTCTCTTGTGTTTCTCCAGCAGTGAGCCAGGTGGTCCAAGTGAGTGAGATAGTATCTGTCCAGAAGACAGAGGAGGGACATCTACAGGCCAGCAGGAGGAAGAGCAGCGCCAAGCAACCGAACCAGCTGTTCACTAACGCCTTCACAGGTACTGCAGTGCATCATAGTAATAAACACTTGAGACTATCAAAGTACAAAAGCAATATGCTTGAGTTTCCCTATTAAGTCAAGTTAAGATTTCAAGCTACTGTGATTACACTGTGACTTTGTCTGAAGTCTGATCTGCACCAAAATGTTATCACTTAAAACATAAATCACACTTTGTAATGAAATATATACTTTTAGTTTGTCTTTTCCTTTTTTGGTCAGCAGAGCAAATCACCTTGATGTATCTAGCCCTGTCACAATAACAAATATTGAAATGCAATATTGCTGAACAATAAACAATACTACTGAAACTAACCCAAGAGCAGATTTATACCATAAAATGTACAATATTTCTAAAAATCATGAGCTTCAGTAAATAAATACCAGAATGAAACACTTCTGTATTTAGTTTGTATCTGTAATTAGTCATATAAATTAATATGAACCTTTTACAGCTTAATTCTAGTCAAAAAGTAACCAAAGATTTCCCAGCAGTGCATAGAAAATATATACATGATAAATATTGACCCCAAAATAATTTTGCTCCAGCTTTAATATATTGAAGCAGAAGTCGATATGGTAATTGTCATGACAGGCCTGTATGGAGTGATAAGTATTAATTTCATTTCACATCAGATGCTCTTACATCTTTCAAAAGCAAAAGAAAAAGAGGGTATGGATCATATGTGGATGACTGAGAGATTACACAGACTTCTTACTGATAAAACTCTTGCACACTATATGTAATGCCAGGGACAGACTTTCTTTGTATATTGTACCCAGACACCAACTAAGAACTTTTCATTGATGTAGCATAGTTCAGTCATCAGAGCTAGATTATCCAAATGTGTGTACTGCCCAATAGCCCGTGCAGAGTTGATCCTCGCCCATGACATCTCTAAAAAGAACTGTCCAAAAAACAACAGAGCCAGCTGAAAGTTGGTTTTCATCTTTGAGCAATATTCTTTTTGGCTCCAGCAAGTCCTGACAACCAGATCCAAAGGTGTCAGAAGGGACATCATCACTTAACAGCTTAGTACCAGTGACCCTGAGTCATTTTAATGCTCTTGTTGAGGCATGGGTGTCTAAAGTGTATGTAGAAAAGCACTGACATTGGTGATCATCAGCAGTAGACTTTATCAGTACTTTTTATTGCTGTCTTTTTCGTTTTTTCTGTTAAAGGTTAAAGCCCGTCACACTTAGTTGTGGTGATCTCTGGCAGTGATCCCACAGACAGTCTGCAGTTCTGTGTTAACTGGAGCATCCCTCACTTTGGAGCTCAATGGGGCAGAGGCGGCACCGTGCCATTTCACTTATGCCTTATTTTTGGCTTTTAGATCCAAAAGTGACAGATTTTATATTATTTATCCAGGCAAAATGTTTCAAATTGCTTCTCTAATCTAATCTTGTACTGGCACATTACTCTGAACTGACAAGGCTGCAATTCCCCCTTTTTTAAAACTTGGCTTAAAGTACCATCTCCCACTGATTATGTAACACATTAAAGACTGAGTTAGCAGGCTTTTTAAATGTCTGCGTTTCATCCCTGCACTAGATTGTATTGTAAGTCACTCCAGTTGGGAAGTTGTCTGAAAAGTAACTTTTCCATTTGATAAAAAAAAATGCTTAGTAGTTAATCTGACTGTGAGATGCTTGGGGAGTGAATCCACTGTCAAAGTGCTTAGCCAGTATTTTTGGTACGCTAATGTAAATATTTTAGTAATGTTCCTGACTTTGCTTTTTTGTCCATGTGTCCTCAGGGACATGCTATACATAATTGACTTTTAGCTTTCAAATCTATCTAATGTTCTTACATATTCCCTTCTATCTAATGGACCCACAATCATTTTTGACTTATCTACAGAGGAAAGCTACAAATGAACAAATCAGTTTTATGAAAAGACAGGGGTGATTATGATATTAAAATGAATTATTTTTTACTATCAAATGCATCATGTTCTTCAGGTCTAAACTATGCAAACAGAGTAGACCAGTTCCCCAGTACAAGCATTTAGCATAAATTAAATTAAATTAACCACAACAAGCCTATTTGAGAAAGCCAGTATCCAAAACAACAACAAAGAGCAAATCCAATTTTAAAGACCTCTCAGTAAACTTTATGGACTTACTCTGATATATGCATTTTCAGCTTTTATCTATATTAATCTGTATCTCTGCAGTTTCGTATGTGCGGAGGGCCAGTAAACACCAGTGGTGCTGCACTGATGTGGAGTTCCTGTGTCCGGACCAGAGCACGTGTGAGCAGTGGATCAGAGCTATCAGTGATCAGCTCACACTACTGAGTATGTATACCTTATCTCTGGTACTGGACTTTGGACTAATGTTACGGTCTGCTAACTCACAGGTGTAAAATGTGTCTTATGTACACATTGATAAGATATGTAGTAGTGTGTTTGGACAGCCTATCAGATAAGAAGTCTAGAATCAAGTGCATGCAGGTTGACAATGACTAAGTACGTAATAATGCATTATATTCAAACTATAAATAATAGGCAAATAGACATAGTTTATATTGCTCAGTGTATAACCCTCCTGATAATAATCAGTTAATAAGTACTCATTACTAACTCAAAAGTAACTTGAACTTATGTTATCAAATAATTTTATATATTTGATTTGATTGAATTGAAGTTATATATTTTGTTTCATAATGAAGTTAAAATGTATTATTGGGTTTCCTTCTGAGGAAGAACATATGAGTAAACTGGGTTGTCATAGCAATATTTAAATAGATAATAAACCAGCTCATCTTATTTTAGCTTATTGTACCATTAAAAGTATGTATGTAAGTAAAGATTTTTCCTAAAATTGGTCCCCTAAACCTCCTTTCTATTCTTTTGTGATGAATCTTTTAAACTCACTGTATTGTATAGTTTTATCTATAGATCTCTTTCTTCAATTAACACTTAATCTGTGGGCTTTTTGTTTTTCAATTTGCACCTCCTCTCCATCTCTCAACACTGGCCCAAACTACAACCATGAACAAGCCATTTAGCATCTCCCCTCTAAAGCTTTATCACCATATGATGCACCACTTTTGCATTGGCCCACACTCCCCTCATAGTCACACCATTTATTTCACACAGCTCCCTACTTTGCTGCAAGTCACTTTGACGGAGCATTTTGCGAAAGGTCTCTGCTTAATGAAAACTTCATCAAGTGGCTGTCAGGACCACATTTGTAAGGAAAAAAGGTTGAAAAACATTGAAGGTTTTTAATCACCATCTTCTCTTGCTTGTGCAGCTAACCGACCAAAACGCCTGCTTGTGTACATCAATCCCATTGGAGGGAAGAAGCAGGGAAAGTGGATTTACGACCAAAAGGTGGCACCGCTTTTTCATAAGGCATGCATCTCAACCGACGTAATTGGTGAGTATTGGTTCAACTGTCTGCCAAAACCATCATCAGATCATAACAAGATGTTTATTCAAGGTTTATGCCTCACTGCTTTAGTTTCCTGATTGTGTAAGTTTGTATATTGCATCAGAATATTACTTTTTATCAACATATTTATCATCTTTTGTCTTTGGCATACCCAAACAGTTCATTTCTAAACTTTTACCATGAGATTTTCAAAATTGCACTAAATTAAGATCTTTTTTTCCCAGCTCTAAATCCATCCCTAAATGCATGTTTTTGTTGAGCACCCCATTTTCACATATTTTTCCTGTACCCCATACACCTCTCCCACACACCCCCAAACCAGGTCATTTTGGACTGAACATGCAGCCACAGTTCAAACTGTGCATTTGATCACAAATTTCACCTAGTTTCTTAAATTTCTTGTCACAGTGGCTTGAAGTCATATTTTTTTTTAGGAAATTTCCAAAGTTCAAATTTTTTCTCATGATTTTCACCAGACATGTTTGCTTTGCTCTATTACACTATATCACACTACGCAAATCAACATAATGTGGGTTAAAACATAACATTTGAAGCCTTAGCTTTAAAATGTATGCTTATCTTCATGATTTTTCTTGTTGTTTTCAAGGAACCCGAATTGATGTTTTTATTGCTTTGTTTACAAATAGGCTGTTTTTACATTAAGGGACATATCTCTTCAGTTTTGATTAGCCGCAGAAACACTGCTTAAAATTATAATTTCTTTTACTCCAATCATTCAGACAGAGATATTCACCACCAACACATCCATTCTATTTTTGGTGACTCTCCTCTGGTTTTCCAGAATAAATTGTCCAAATGTGACAATGTTTTGTACAGGGTAACAGTGGAAGTCGTGGGGGGAGAGGCTAAAAGTAAGCAAATTTTTGAAAAACATATCTAAAATTAATTTGGTTTACTGCAGAGAAATGAAAAAAATTACACATATGTCTAAAAACTTGTAAAAATACACATCTGTGTGAATTTTCTTGGCAATCAAACAACCACAGCCAAAGTTATCACAATCAATGTACCTTCAGATACATATATTTCTATATAGGCACATATAGTCCTCTAATTCAAATACGCCCAGAAACACTATTTGAATTTTTTCTCTTCACTCTAACTATTTAGACTTGAAGAGTTACTCACTACCGACACATAACGTAAAAGTTGGTAAATTTTGGAAAAAACATAATTTTTACTGAAATTCACTGGGTTTGCTCCAGAAATATAAAAACTTGAAAAATTATTTTCACCTTGATTTTTAGAGTAGGGGTCAAAAACTTCCATTAAAAAAATGATTTATAATGGAAGTCAAGTACAATAACACGCTGAGTGTCTGCAAATTTTCTCATGTCATTTTTCATGTCATTTTCAAATTGGTCCGAATGAAACTTCCATATGTCCAAAATGCTGTAAAAACACAGGTGTGCGTGAATTTTCATGGCAGTCGAACAATTACTGCCATGATAAATGTACCTTCAGATACACAAATTTCCTTTAACAATCTACAAGGTTTAAACTAATCTAGGGTGTAGGGCTGTGCAAATAATGAAATCGATATTTGAAATATAAATAATATAATATGATATTAAATATATATTAAATTATATATATATAATATAAAATATTTCTCAGTCGTATTTTTGGGACATTTTCACTGAGAGGTATACAGTCTGTATACAGTGAAAGTATGTGGTTTGGGGCAGTGTTTATTCTTTGGAGTAAAAAATGGAATATGTATTGTGTTAAATGGCCTTAATTGTGTATGTATAGGGTATTAATATTGAATGCCATTGTATTTGTTTTTAATTACAGTAAATAAAAATCAACAATTAAGATTAATCAATGTGAATTAAAAAAGTATTACCGGTAATTGTTTTGTCATATCACCCAGCTCTGCTTTTTTTTAGAATAAGACTCTTTATCCAGCAGCATGATTGGTGAGCCCCTCTCATAGCCGCACAGTGATATTTAAATAAAGGATGAGTTTGTATAGTGGCTGTATAGATCTGCAGTGCCATAGTGGACTCTGTTGTGGCCCGAAGAGGATTGCACAGATATGATTTGGTCCCAGTGCCATTAATCACACTGAGGTTGTAATGGGAACAGTGATAGTTGATAAACAGAGGTTTCCAAACACATCTATTATTCAGTGACTGGAGTGAAAATTATCCATCAAGGGCAGGCCCAATATGTTTCTACTGCTTTATTCCAACAGCAAGGGGTTTCATATCCATGAAGATGATTGTTGTGGTGAAATAAAGAAAAGCTGAAAGAACCATGTCTAACACATGAGTTAATTTACTAGCTGTAGAGTGGAGACGTGAATAACATTGTGGTGTGACTATATTTGCCTGGCCATTCTTCTGTTGTAGGGTGTAGTAGTACCTTGGATGCTGCAGGTCGTGGATAGAGCTTCCACAAAGAAATTTCATAAGGATCAAGTTTGAAGATTCTTCAGACTGGTGTAAACATCCAGTGGAACATTCCTCAAAAATAATGATCAATTTTTCTACAGTTACAGAGCGAGCCAACCATGCAAGGGAACACCTGGTGACAGAGGCCGATCTGGACAAATACGATGGGTGAGTATGATAATGGTCAGTTTATCATTTTACAGTGAAATCTGAGAGCAACACATGTCAGATGGCTTGAGAATAAATTCAAGTAAAATTTTCATTTTGAAAAGACATTTATATAGTAGATAGTAGAAGTCACAAGAAATTGAGACAATTGTAAGAAAGAGGGTGAGCCTTGGGGTACAGTTACCTACCTACTTACCTATAAAACATAAACCATTGTTCATTTATTAGTGCACAAAGTTAGGCATCAATGTACATACAATGGTAATAGGCATTTAATTAATCAAATTTTACTTATTCGGCACAATACATATATTCAGAAATCCCTTGACGAGCTACTTGGAAGAGGGTGGAGAGCTACTGGGAGCTCCCGTACTACGGGTTGGAGACCCCTGATTTAGAGCAAGATAGTAACTAAACAATCATTGAACTAACTTAAGGAGAATAGCCAGTACAAAAGCATTTAAGATAACTTTTTTCAAACCTCCTTCTGTTCTAAAAGACAAAGACCAGTGTATATGTGCATCTTCAGAAATTATATATATATTTGGTAGTATAATAAGTATTTTATTAACTTAGGGATTGAAGCATGTGTCCTGTAGTTCAAATGCAGTAGGTGAGCATCAGTAACATGAAAAGCCTTGCTGCTCAGTGCCGCGTTGACTCCATCGTGTGTTTGGTCCAGTGAAGCGAACTTGGACCCATTAAAAAGGGCTGAAGACTTCACATAATTCATGATGGTGCATTTGTGGTAGTCTTTGTGAGGCAATGAACAGCGGTAATGCAGTTTGGCACAGTGTGAGGATGATCTTATATATTGAAGGCTTTCACAGTAAGATCCCCTGCCAGCTCATGTTATGCTCTGGGGTTCTATGGTGTAGCTTTTTCTTTATGTATGGGTTGTATTATAAAAAGTATGAGCGATTGCTTAATCAATTTCTATCCTACACACTATTCATTTTTATTGTAGTTTACATCATTTATAGATCCAAATAGCAAATTCCACTGTACCAAAATGTGATAATATAATACTTAACAGGTCATTATTTCCAGTATTTTTTACCACTCTATGTTAGAACTGGGTGGTTTGATCAGCATCGTTATAGTGTTCTGATTGGGGATTGGGAATTCCAGTGTTTTGTTAATTCTTTGCTTTTAAAGGCCCATATTACGCCATTTTCGGATTTATGTTGTTCCCTCATCAGTTTTTCACTAGAATCATTTGGACAATTCAATTTGGAGTTGCCAATCATTGCTGAACTGAAGGCAAAAGGTAGCTGCTAACTTGAAAACTATCAATTGGAACAGAGCATTTTGAGTTTTGGAAATGTAGACAATCAAATCAAACATGAAACAAATTAATATAAATGAAACAAAACAAAACAAACTCCAGGTATGTTTTTGAGGAGGTAACATCATTATAGAATGGATTAAAGCTCACAAGAATCTGTATTGTGAAACATGGGACCTTTATTTTTTTAAGATCTTCTGTAAAACAATTTTATTAATTGTTTTGAAAGGGCATTTTAGCCTTGTCACAACATTGTAATTAATATATGTTCATGCTGCTACTACACTGCTGATAATACAACAGTGTATGTTATGGCTATTGTTACATTATACTGAACCATATGTTTTATCTTGTCTTTATGTACAGGCTGGTGTGTGTAGGTGGTGATGGCATGTTCAGTGAAATCGTGCATGGTTTAGTGACTCGAACTCAGAACGACAACAAAGTGGACCTGAACGACCCGGGGGCTGAGTTGGTTCCGACTGCTTTGAGAATCGGCATCATCCCAGCAGGTGAGCTTTGGGGAGAAAAACACAACACTTTTTTTATTAAAGGAGCTTATTCTGCTGCTACACTCTTGTAAAGAATGCTTCCTCTGCTTCTTAAGGCCACTGGAACGTAACTACACCGTTGCCATGGTTGAACATCAGAACAGATTTATTGTAAGAAATAACACGTTTTCACAGTTGGACATTAAACAAGGTCTTTCTCACTCAACCTCAGCTCTGTAGCTTTTTACAGCAGCACTAAACCTGAATGAGGATTGAAAATGGTGTAAGGGGTTGTGCCTGTGGTTCACAAAGGGATAGTAGCGTGTGTTTCAAATACCTGCGGTGTAACATTTTACAATTACTGTAATTTTCATACTGGTAATACTTAAAAGGTCTGAGTTGAAATCATATCATTTTCAAAAGAAATTGAGTTAAGTGTTAAGTGCACTGGGTCACTCGTGGCTATACAGACATGAACCACTTCTCTGATAAGTACACTTGCCATTGCTTCTGGAAACTCAAGCATTAAGATAGTTCATGGGCAGGAAGTTTAAGTTAAAGGTCTGTGTTTTCAAGAGGATTAAGGTTAAGTGTTAATAAAAGCACATTCGTTTTCATTCTTTAAACTAAAGACCGCCTGGATTTTTCGGTTCTAAAGGATTTTTAAACGTACGTCAAAAAGCGTATACCACAGACACGAGGAGAATCTTATGGGATTTTAAATCTCCGATTACAAAGACTGTAGCTGGATATGGCTGCAGACCACAGGCTATGAAGTTGTGGGCGTGATCGCGTCTGCTTCTCACTTTGAAACTCTTAAAATGTGTTGAAAAGATCAGGGCACTGCACTTCTAGTTTACATGCAAGTCAACGCTGTGTTACAGAACAGTAGAAAACTGTGTATGGAGCCGTGGAGAGGCTGGACTCTTACAGGGAGCAGGACATGTATTCACTGATAGCTCGGGGAGCTTTGTACAGCGGCTCAAGAGATGTATAGTGCACATAAGCACTTCTCTGTACAGACCTGTACATCGTGCTCTGTGCACTTAAGGCACATATCAGTCACTTGTGCGGGGCAAATGCAGGTCGTGCAGCCACCCTTCCTTTGTGTTAATGGTTTAATTCATATCTGTGCGCAAAGCAGTAACATCAGAAACATTTATATGACAATAAATGTATTCCATAATCCGCAAGACATCCACCTGTGTGGGACCAAATGCAGTGGACAGCCGTGATAAGAGAATGTGAGCAGTCAGCAGTAGCAGCGGTGGACACTAGTACCTCAAATGAGAGGCACAGAGTGGAATGCCAGGACAGGCAGGAGCAGGGGAGAGCAGCGGTCAGTTGGTCTGCTGCGTAATGGGAGGCAAACGAATTGAGGAGCGCAGAGAAAACTAAAAAGACTGACGTGTGTGTACGTGCACAAGCTTACAAGGGTGTGTGTGCGTGAGAGAGACGCACGTGCATACGGAGTGTTCTGAACACAAACTCCAGTTCTGTCACAGCGCATCCAAAATTCTGTATTCCTGGTGCCTCTGCTGGCGCATGCTTGCATCATGCTCTGTCCCACTCCAGCCTCCAGCAGCGAAATACAGCCCGACCTGGACACGTCCCTTCTTTAATGCTAGCACTAGTGTTTAGATCGGGGGCAAGATCTGGCCATGATGTTTAATGCACAGAAGGCTGGTGACACAGGAAGTCACTATCGCTAATCTGTATCTTACGCCCCTGTCTTCGCCACTTCGTCTGTCCGTGACGATCTGGTTTATTGGCTGTTACCGTAGCTTTGCTGATGTTTGATATTTACGATATGACAGTGCAGCTCAGAGTGGCATACGAAGGCAAAAAGTCAGGTCACACATTCCCCAAGTCAGAGAGAGAGCAAATCACAGCCTCAATCGGCCAAATTTTGTTGGAGGGTCTGTCTCTTGCTTCTCTCTATGGAGATGTGCATAAAATGTTCCACAGTGTAGCCATAAACATAGGAATCTCCATGGAGATTTGCAAGTCAAATTACAGGTTTGTGGAGAGGCGACCCCACTCATAAAAAAAATAAATGTTACATGGTGCTCCTTTATGAAGCTAATCTGGAAGATTCTTACAAATTGGAAGCAAACCCATTAATTTTTTTTCCTGTAAAGGAACAGGAATATAAAGATAATTTGATAATTAGTCAATTAAAGCAAGTTTATATAACTTCTAGGAACCAAAATCCAAATCAGGGTACTAATTGAGCCTATTTTTTTATTTTTACTTGTACATATACATTTATATGATTATGCCTCTTGCTATTTTTGCTACTTATTTTGAATTTACTATAACTTTTTTTTTTCTTTTTGCTCACTATTATTATATTTATTGTGATGTTTGAGCTACTGTGTCCACATAATTTCTCTCGTGGATCACTAAAGTTTGTCCAAGTCTAAGTCTAAATCTACTGTCTGCCACTAGCCCTACCCTCCCCACAGTTTGAGAACCTCTGTGTTAGATCTGGTCTTCTTGTGAGTATCCTCTGAATGACATCTTCAAGCTCCTGTCACGCTGCAGTGAACTAGCCCATAACATCAGGCCTTAGATTCACTCGTTGTCTCTTCTTCGTCCCCTCTCTCCTTCTCTCTCCCCTCTCTCTCTCTCTTCTCTCTCTCCCCTCTCTGCTCTTCTTTTATCAGTAGCGCCGGGTCCATTTCACCACTCAAGCATGATCAAAGTGGAGCAGATAGGTCTGAAATTATGCCATGTGGCGCAGAAAAAGAGATAGGACCTTATTACCTCTCAAGTTGAAAGATTTAGCGTCAAACTTCACATTTCTCACGGAGCAGGGGATGTCTCTTATCGTTCATTTGTTGGCTGAGGAGCGTTCATGAGCCAGGGGCACCCAGATATACGATTAGCTTTATGATTCTCGGTACGCATCACTAATAAAATCACCCGGCTGAACTTTTCACACTTGGTTGCAGCTTTTACAAGATACAGAATGGCTATGCTCTTGTCCACAAATGTTAGTCTTGCAGTTTATATATGGTGACACAAAAGGCACCAAGAAATGGAAGTGGGAAAAGTCTATCTTTTATAGCTAGTCAAAAGAAAAATGTGTAGGAAATTACAGTAAATGTTTAGATGCAGTGTACTCATTTTATGAAGTGGATTATCCATAATTATGTTTTTATTAGCTTTTTCCAATTACTGGTCTCCTGTTCTTTTTAGATATCATGTTGTATTCAGAATTTAAAGGTGTGTGCCTTCATTGAAATATTATGGCTTTACCGGAACTGTTCCTCATTAGTATGACACTAAACTTAACTATTTTTTATTGCGTTAATTAAACTGTAACCTGCCTGACTGCATCACTGTGGACATGAACCATTCAACTGAAAAGCTAGATTTTGCATCTTCCACTTATTTAAGTACCATTAAATACATTAAGAAAGCTAAACACAGTTTTCAGATGACTCAGTTGGCCAATCCTTGTGAAAACAGAATAACAAGAACATCAAGAAGAATGACATTCATTAATGATTGTTCATGGTCTAGTGCCTGTAACAGTACTGGCAAATCCACAACCCAAACCTACATTTACCACAACAACCAAACAAATCAGCAACATTACTTAGAAAGGAGTGTGACCACATTGTACAGTAAAGCAGCAGTGGTTCACAAACTAGAAAATATTTAGTTTCCCAAGTACCACGAGATTTTAACAGGCTAAACTAGATCTAAATGATTAAAGCAAGTTTTGGAAGTAGTTTTTCATGTGGACTAATCCACAGGACATAGAAGTACTATAACTATTATTGACCCAGTGTGCCACCACAGCATTTGAACCACATTTTGTAAACCACTATGTTATTTTACACGTTCTGGTATTGAGTATTTCAAGTGTCATGATGGTAGCAGGTGCATTGCTTGGCTCTTTACAATGACATATAGTGTTTTTCTTGTGTCTGACCGGTGTCCCCTCTTTAACAGGTTCTACTGATTGTATCTGCTTCAGCACAGTGGGCACCAACGATCCGGTCACGTCTGCTTTACACATCATTGTGGGTGAGTAATTGAAAAGACACATGCACCTTTTATTTGTGGACTACAGCTGCGGCATGTTTCTTTTCTGTTAGATATTATCAGAGCTGGTCTGTCACAGGAAATACACACAACCTTTGAACTGAAGTAATAGGGATAAAATACAGGGCCTGCACAAAAATAAGTCACACAGTCAGTCTTAAAGGCTTAAAGATTTGAGTTGGCTTTTAGACGATAACAAATGTATTTGATCTTGTACCGAACTTCACAAGCTAATAGTGTGAATTAAAAGCAATAGGCAATATGCCTTTTCATTCAGTCTTTTTTTTTTTTCTCAATTGTAGTTTGAAAAGTTTTACTTTCGACACAAACTGCACCATCAATCAAAGACTGGTCGAAAATTATAAATGAAATTAAGAAAATGGAAAAAATAACATTTGGACTTAATTTGAAAATGGACCTCTTTGACAAACTTTGGAGTAAATGGGACTCATATGCTGGAAAGGAAGTGTCGTAATATTATTTAAATTTAAATGTGATATAAAAACACTGGATGCAGTCTGTCAAATTTGTCTACTCTCTTTGTCATGTTCAATGTTTTGTGTTATACGTTGTTTACCTTTTTTCAAAACTAAAGAAAAATAAAATATAAAAAAAAAAAAGAAAAGTTTTAGTTTCTGTTCATTTTTTAACATTAAGGTAATGCCAGGGATGTTATGTCATTTCATAGAGAATTTTACCCAGCGTGAGGAGCTCATTCATCTGTCTTATGATTAAATAACTGGCTTAAGGTTAAAGTTAAACAATTTCATGTTTTTAATGTTTTAGTTGTAATATTTATAAATAACTATTTTTCTTTTCAAATAAGCATTTTATGGAGCTAAATTATTCCCTGATTGTGGGAAAGATGGACTAGGGTGCGTAGTGTTGTGTTTTAGTTTTAGTTTTTCCTTGAGTGATGCAGAAAAGAGGGAGCCACTGCCTGTGTAAATGTTCATGTATGTTAGCATACATGTTAGCACAATGGTTAGAGTAATATTTCATATGAATGTGTTTACTTCATATTTGAGACATATTGCTGTTGTTTACAATACATTTGAAAATTTCTACTACATATTTGGAATAAATACTACACATAATTGTAGCTGTTAATGTGTCTTACAGTGTCCATTTCTTCTCCAGGTGATGCACAGCCGATGGACGTGTGCTCAGTTCACCACAACGACTTCTTCCTTAGATTCTCTGTCTCGCTGCTAGGATACGGTTTCTACGGAGATGTGCTGTCCGACAGTGAGAAGAAAAGATGGCTGGGCCCTGCTCGCTACGACCTCGCTGGTAAAAGTCAGGACTGAACCAGGTCTAAACCTGGATGAGGCCATGCGTAGAGAAGCATTAAACCATCACTAAAACAAGTAGTAAAAGGAGACAAATACATACAAAATCATCATAAGGCAACGTCATGATCTGGTTTGTGAAATTTTGAGTTGTATAAGTAAGTAGAGAGCAATGAGCATGGACAGGGGTTACATGAAAAGAGAGACATTTTCTTGAATCATAACAATATAGTATTAATAAAACATACATGAATCAATAAAAATACAACTCATAGTAAGTAAATGATGAAGGAACGCTGTTATGAGATCATTTAAATCTTATAAAAGTCCATTTTACACAATATGTCCCCTTTAAACCTTCATTTTTGGTTTTAGTTACAAGTCAGATAAATGGCACACTTTTCTGAATGCTTCTTATGAAACAGCTCTCAGTAGTAAACCACAGAGCCATTCGCTGCTGCAGCCTCGCAGGTGTGAAGGGTCAGCATCTGAGTTCAAGCCTGGCTAAGCACTCATACTTACCTTTTAACCCCGGATCAACTTATTCTAACCCGACTTAGACCCGGCACAGTCCATTGTTGAAGGACTTGGACTTGTGTGTGCTGGTGGCTGCGGAGGATTTCAGATAGTATCTAACACACGGATTCTAGCTCAGGAGTTCAGGCTAAAGGTTTTACTACTACCACCTCCAACTCTGCTCCCATGGGCCCTGCTCACATACGCTACAGTTCAATGCACTGTACGGTACTCGGCGCGCAGTAATCCACTTTATAAAATGGAAAAACTGGGCACAATTAAATGGCTTCCATCCGGAACAAGCAAGAAAGTAATTTATATTTGTTTTAACATACACATGGACACTTTTTTAATATTTAGAGGAAATTTAATTGATTTATTAAGTGCTTTCCATAATATGCACATATTTCTAGGGTTGGGTGCATTGTGGTAATTGAAGTGGGGTTTGAATTAGAATTGAAACAGGAATTTCATTAAAAGTAAATGTATTTCACATGCTCCACATGCTTCACAAATTTGTATCAGAACTTACTTACATGGGTTTTTTTATTTTGCCATTTGCCAAACTCACTATTTAAAGGTGCAATATGTAACTATTCTGGTGGAGGGTTTGCCACTTCCTGTCTATGGAAATTTTACTGTTTTGCCTGGAATGTTCAACAGCATGCAGGCATGTACACAAGCAAATGACACCATCAAATACCAAATATCTTCTGGATAATGATAATTCATAAATAGTTTCACATATTCCTCACAACTGTTATTTTCATCGTTTTTTTCTTGTGTTTTTTTTTTTTTTTTTTTTTTCAGGGGTAAAAACCTTTCTTAACCACAACCACTACGAAGGCACTGTGTCATTTCTACCCGCTGAGGATGATGTGAGCAGTCCCAGAGATAAAGTGCAGTGCAGATCAGGGTAAACATCCGCTCCCAGTGGGCAGCATAGAGATTTTCAGCAAACACTTTAAATAGCATTGAAAAGATTAAGGTCATATGATACCAATGGATTATTGTTTACCCATGTTGTTTATGAACAGAGGAATCAATTCTGCTATCTGTGGTAAAATTTAATGAACACATGGAATTACAAAATAAACATATTTTTTTATTTTTCTTCATGTATAGACTAAAGCTGCACTGCTTTTATTTTAGAGGTGTTTTTTTTATTACTGTAGTTTTTTCTAAGGCAACCTCCCTTTTTCATTGCTTAGTCATAACATAAACTCTTACCAGTCTTACCAGCTTGTCAAAACAATGCTATTTACTGCTTTTTTATAAAGAAATACAATTAATATTATGCCAAATTTAGTTAAGCATTTTGGCCTAGCTGTCTTCAATATTTTCTGTTTCTCATGTGGCCCCATGGAAAAAATAATTGCCCACCCCTGTGTTAGAATGTTTTTCCCTCATCAAAAACATACCTGGTGTTGTGATTTGTTTCATTCACACATTTCTTTCAACATGTATGTAATAATGTGTGTTATTAGTCTGTCAATATCTTTAAAGCTCATAATGTTCTTTTCCACCTCGTGGTGTCATGTAGTGGTAGTTAACAGCTACCTCTCATCCTTAGTTCAGCAGAGACTGGCAATTCCAGGGTTGAAATTATCCAATTATCCAAATGATTCTAGTGAAGGTGTATGGAGTTTTAAAACACACTGGAGCACTTCCCGTATTACCGTATGGCATCATCAAGTGGAACAGAGCCGTTCCACCTGATGATGACAGTTTTCTCTTTGACAGAAGAACTCAGCCTAAATATGCAGGGTTTATGTTTTAAACTTGAGTGACTGAAACAAAACACAGGTATGTTTGTGATGAGGAAACATTATAACCTATAGCCTTTAAATAGTAAAAGAAGCCAACTTATATGTTTTGCTGTTGTATTTCAAATTGCTGGACTTGCTGCTCTTTTCACCATTTAAGAATACAGTGCATATAGACAATTACATGTTTTATAACAAGTTAGATCAAAGTTTTAGCTAAAGTCTTAACCATTCGTAAATGAGTCAACAAACAACTTAAGTGCTCAGTTTATAAGTATATATTGTATCATCATGTATCATCACAATATTTTGGTTATAATATGAGATTATTTTTTTTGCCATTTTGCAGGTGTAGAGTCTGTCAGCACACATCAGGGGAGAAAAAGAAGACTGAGAAAGGTACGTGTAATTATTTTTCAAACGATTTTGCGCATAATAAATATACTGTGATTGCACAGAGTGTCTGCCCACTGATCAGATTGCTAGCGGACTGAATCCTGCTTTTGACACATCATTGGTAGAGTGGTCAGATCCACAAATCCAGGGGTAGGCAATTCCAGCTCCCACAGATGAATGCTGTTGTTTTGTCCTTGGGCAAGACACTTAACCCCACAGTGTCTTCCTTGATGTAAAGCTCTATATAAAAATGTTCCTCATTATTTATAGTTTGCTGCTACTTGTAAATAAACTATGATTATTCCCTAAAACAAAACATACTTGTGATCTTTTACTATGAAAGTCAATATAACTACCTGTGTGCAGATGTCAATATCACCACATCATTATAATTTTTAATCCAAACCTTGCTTTGTCCTAATTTTCCATGATGCCGCGTTTGATTAGAGATTTAATGAGTTATTGATGAGAATACAAAATTATGTTAGTGACATTGAATAAATCTCATCATGATTTTAATTAAAATCTTTTCATTACCAACTCTCCAAAACTAATGCATTGGCTCCATTTGGTACAAACCCAGTACTCACCAGAGATTGATGAAAAAGTAATTTACTGTAGTTTATAACTGTACTCCAAGCCATTTTACACAAAAACAGACATACTAGTACATAGCAACTGATTTTCAACTGAGAGAATATGTTTAAAATATTTGGGTCATGGCATATTTTTTTATTATTAGTCTTTTCACATCGCATGCTCAGGTAAAGTACAATGTTTTATGAAGTACTTTTTCTGTTATCTAATGTCCTTTCATGTACAATACATCTCTAAACTTTGCAGTAACTTTGTGACGAAGGGGCCACCAGTTGAGAATCACTGCTCTTGATTTTCATCCTTTTGACTATTGCTTCACCTCACATCATTTGCTTAGCGATTTCTGTTTGTTTTTATGTTTTGCCCTGTTCTCTTTGAGGGGTAAACTCCTCCAACTGCTGAGTCAATGAGTCCTGACACAGAAATGGCCTCCCTCTCAGAGAAAACAGTCATTTGCAGACATTGGCTAATGCATACAGGCCTCTCACAGCTGCCTTTGTTTTGTTCCTGCTCCTCAAATGTTACTTTAATCACTATTGTACAATTGCGAGGCCACATTTCGCAGTAGCCTCAGCGGGCTTGTTATCTGTGGTGATCACCTCTGTAAGTTTGTTTTGCCAAATGGAGGGTAAAGGTAATGATTTTTTTTCTTACTAATTTTCCCCTGGAGACACAGTAAAGCTAATTTGAACGTGATTTCGTTGCACACTTGGTCGGTTATTGAAGCAGTGACAGTTTTGTGGTCTCATGGGTGAATCGAGACATCTGATTGGCTCATCAACAGCAAGGGATCTCTAAGGAGCAGTGTTAGCGCTTTGTGAAGTGCGACCATCACGTCTGGTGTTCTGGAAATCTGCAAAGCGTGTCTAATCAGAAAAACAAGCTTAATCCAATCACATTTTTATCTATATGACTTCTTTTGATATTGTGAACTGATCCTTGGCTACATTTAATTGCCTTTGAAATATCTTGTGTTGTTCTACAAGTAAAAAGAAGTCTAAACTTTATAATGTAAACTTTTTGTTTCTTAGACCTTCTTAGAACATGAAGACATCTGGAACTTAATGGACTTTCATTAGTGCCAATTGTGTGCAACCCATTGCCAATCCACAAAAAGAATACTCCACACACAAACTATTTTAATTTTTCCTACTTCACAACATGATTAATTTTCTCATTCAGTGGGCTACCAGATGATGTTATGATGCTTTAAAGTTATTAAACACATATTTACTTTAAAACATTGTGGCTTTAGTGTGACAACATAGCACTCTTAAATGAGCTATTTAGTGTCTAATGTGAGCATGGTTAAAGCTGACTGTACACTACAATCAAATTAAAATGTGTATATTTGTAAACTGAGTAGATCTCACAAAATCTGTTACTACAGTGGTGCCAGTTTCTGATGGAGCCTAAAGATGGCAGACGAACTGGAGACTGATATAAACAATAGTGAATCGTCCTTTGGCATCTACTAGAAGCATCAGACAGAGTAAACACAGATTTAACATAATAATGGAGTGGCTCAGTATAGTTGGATTATCGTTCAGATCTCATGCCACATTTGGAAAATTTTGCAGTGCATCCAAGAACAAATGTGCTGAAGGACTTAGAAGTACTTAGTTTAAAAGTCCATTATGTTCCCAGTTACTGATGACAGTTTGGAAATCATTTCATAAAGTGCTTAGTATTTATGCTAATAAGTTATATAATTATAAATAAAATGACATATGGCAAAATATCACTTTTGAGTACAAAGTATCCCATATATTAAACAAGGCTGGAGAAAAAAGATCATGAGTCAGGGAAAGATCCATTGAAAGTTGTCTTATATATGCATCACATATTATTTCTACAAGCTGAATAACTAATATCACCTTTTTTCATTGACTAAAATGTCCCCAAAAATACAACTTACATACCATGCTGCTAATACCTGTTTCAGATAGGCGTGATGATGGCTGGACAGTGATCAGTGGGAAATTCATGGCCATAAACGCGGCGTGTATGAGCTGTGCTTGTCCCCGCAGTCCCAAGGGCCTGTCTCCTTCGGCACACCTCGCAGATGGGACAGCTGACCTCATCCTTGTCCGAAAGTGCTCCAGGATTGACTTCTTCAAACACCTGCTGAGGCACACCAACAAGGATGACCAGGTGGGAATATGCAGCATCATCACCGTTTGACATACAAATTACATTGTACATGTGATGTAGAAAACTGAGAACATTGTGAACAACTGCAAATTATAATAATTTTAAAGGTGAAAAAAATTACTATCACCAGTGTTACAGTTGAACTTGTCCCCTATTTATGCACAATTTGAGAGTCTACAGATACCCAACACAAATATTATATCAGTAACAGTATCTATTGTACTTTGATTTAAAGGTGCACTTTGTACCTTCTCTGGTGAGGAGTCTACCACAGACTTCATCATAGAGCTGTTGCTTTGCCTGGAATGTTCAATAGTATGGCATTTAACATATCATTCAGATTATTACAGGTGTTTTTCATTGCTTAGAAATACCTTAAAATATGCTTTTGCACTATGAGTGTGCTCACCACTTCACAAATCTGACCTTTAACTTGGTCTGATGGCATCTCCATGAGATGAGTTTAATTCTGTACTGTGGAACATACCAAGCAAGCAAGAAGCAGACCATCCACCAGAAAAGTTGCATAGCACATATTTAAAGCAGTAATATGTCTTTCTTATACACCCCAAAAGTGCATACATTTTCATATTTATTTTTTAGAATGTAAAAGAAAAAAAAACAGTAACAATCAAGTGATCATGACAGAAAACCCATTGTATAATTTACCAGTTGAAACCCATTTTCTAGCACAGAAGTCAATTTTAATGATCCTTTCCAATTATCAGTTTACCAACAAGTAATAAAAACAGCAATATCTGATTCCCAGCTTGTCCTCACTCCCACTGAACCTGATGTGGCTCACCAGGAGCTGCTCAACCTGTGCCTGGATAAATTGAGTGTGTTGTAGTGTGCAGCGGAGAGCAGAAGGCAGGAGTTAGCCCACTGCTGTGCTAGCATCTCCATCTGCTGACTCTGCTCATTTCACCTGCTACAGTTCACTTTAGTGCAGAAGCCTTAGCCCCCCCTTAGCCCCCCCTTAGCCCCAGTGCCTCCCCGCGTTTCATAAATAACCTGCAGTTTGGTCCAGTGAGGATGTATGTAATGGCTGGATCATAGTTTCAGTAATGAATGGGAGAAATGTGGTCTAATACCCCTGTAGGATCACACTGCATCACAGGGGGTCTGGTGGGTTTAGCTAATTATTGCCACAGGATACGCCTTGAGACAGTTTATCCTATTTAGAAAACAGTCATAGCAGTAATTTTATCTATAGGGGCTTTCCAGAGGAAACTGTGCAGTGACTTCAACCTGCAGGAATAATAATACAACTTTGGTCAATAGCTCTCTGCTGGTGAAGTTGAGAGTGTGTGTGATAGTGTGTGATATTTTTGTCAAAGCATTAACATCTCCATGGAGACAAGCAGGTGGCAGAAAAAAGTGGCATAGTGTAGCTTAAAGCAAACAGTGCTTGACGTATCCAGGCTGTGGCTCAGTTTGTTTGTGCAGGTATGAGTGCAGGCCCAAGGGAGACCCAAGCCTCTCCCCGACCAAACCGGAGCATGGCACAGTTTGATTGGTCTAGTATGAGTGTGTCCTTACTGAATGATGGGAAAAAATCCACAAGACCAAGCGCAGACATACATCTCCACACAGAAATTATTTTAAGATGTAATTTTATACTCTTGATGTAATTGTTCTATTGGTGCTGCTGACCTGTTCTTACTCTAATTGGTACAGCATGTATCTGTGTTTGGAAATTACTTCTGTAAGACCGAGGCGGCTGGAATCCAAGGCAACACGACATGTGATCAAAATATCACAGCCAATCCTGCTCGACTGCTGAATTGGAACAAGCTCAATGAAAAATGAACCGGTTAGCAGAAGGAAATGGTGAAATGGAAGCTGCTGTTAGACTGAGAAGATTTGGCCGCTGTGTGATGTGTGGAGCGTGTCTTTAGACAGATTAACATTCACCAAATCAGTCTTTACCAAAAACAAGCAGCGTGCACTGCTGGGATTATATTACCACGCTGCTCAAGCAGATAGATGGTAGAAAATGAGGGAACACGAAAGACAAAATATTTGGCAATTCATTTTTGAATTGCATCTGCACCACACACACACAGCTAACCAATTCATAAAAACTAAATGGGTCTTTTCTAAAAAATAAAAAAAAATTAAAAATTTAAAAAAAAAAGGTGCACTATGTAACTGTATAATTCAAACAAAACTTATTTGTAGTGACAAGCACATGGCAGACTTAAACCAGAAAAGTTACATAGTGTATCTTTTAAGCCAAACTATAAGTGAAATTTTTTTTTGTATTGTAATTTTTGGTTGTGATTTGTCTTTGTCAGGTTTTTGGCTAATCAAAACTAAATGTGCCGCAAAATGAGGGGGAGGGGTGTAGAAAAATCTGAACTCAGTGACCACAATCTATTCTAACAAGAAGTCTATTAGGTTTCAACGCAAGTACATCTAATTAAGAGCTGGATTAGCTATAAACCTTTAATGAAACAAAATCAGGACATGAACTATAAGAAATCTTCTGTAAGAGCCATACCTCACTTTGGGGACCACTGGACTAGATCTCCTGCTTTACTTGGCACATATCAAGTTGAAAAGAGGACTATGAGTGATAAGGGCTGAGTGACTTTGCATCTCCGTTCACTTAATATCAGCCTCAGTGTCCAGCCGAGCGAGGAGAAACAGGAGTGAGGCGGCTCTAAGCGTATTCATGGCCTTGTCAGAAAGCCTTTTAGGCCCAACGTCCCGCGTGAATGCAAAGAGCACGCTCATAAAGTGGCTCTGATGTGAAATAAATGGTTGTCAGTGAGTTTTTTGGATGAGTGGGGAGAGATAGACAGTGGACAGGCAGAAGAATAAAGAGTGTAGCAAAGAGGAAGTGGCACTTTGTGAAGAAAAGCAAGTCTTAGATATAAGACATTTAAAAGAGAACTGACTAGCCTATTATTTCTTTACTACTTGTCATTTTAAGTCTTTTCTCATCATTCAAAATTGTTGAGTTTTAGTGTTTTTATTGTCCTGCCACAAAATACATTGTGGCAGGACATGTACAATGTTAACCTGCTCTTCTTATAACGAGGTAGTCTGTAGTCGTTCACCCTCTGCCCCTGACTGAATAGTCTTTGTAGAACAGAAATATAGATCAAATGCATATCCATGGGTTTCATTTTCTGGACCGTTGCCATAGATTGGCAATTTATAACTAAATATTAACAAAATATTATAGCTTTTAAATGGAAAAAAGTCCTCAAAATGTTGCAGGTAACTGGAAGGTGAAATACACGAGTAGCAACATCTGATTGGCTATTATGCAATGCTTGAAAGAATGTGCAAGATTTAAATGTTTTGTTTATTGTATTAAGATGCACATTACTTTTATAACTAAAAAGTTATTTCATTTTCAGATTAAGTCCTAATAATGCATTTTGCTCCTCTCTACAGTTTGACCACGTGTTTGTGGACGTCCACCGAGTGAAGAAATTTAAATTCCAGCCACGACACGTGGTTTCAGTGGAGGACCTCAGCGAGATACCCATGAAGAACACCTTTACACCTGTATGCCCTACCCCCTGCAGGTGTAACAATGACTCCGCCCAGAGCAGCTGGACCTGCGATGGCGAGATCCTGCCCCATGTCAGCATTCAAGTCAGGTAATAGTTCAAATAGTTAATACAATAAGGTTCAGTTAATGGTGCTCTATGTCACTTTTGGGATAAGGTGTGTCTCCATGGAACTGTTGTTGCATAGACTGGAATGTTCCACAGTATGGCATTAAACTTACGCATGGTTTATATTTTCTAAGAAATCTATAATTATTATAAATGCCTTGAAATATATACCTTTATGTGATGAGCATTTGATTGGCCTGGTGGGAACATCTGGTTGTTTTATTTTGTAGAACATTCCAGGCAAAGCAGTAACCTCAGCTTGGAGACAAGTTCCATACTGCACCTTTAAGAATACATACACACTACAAACAAATACTAAAATGTAAGATGTAGGTATCGTGAAAATACTTGACAATACAAGCAACCATTGTATTTTAGAGTTAAGAGATTAGTTTCTACTATTCAATATAAGACTAATTCTACTTTCCCTAGTGTGCAGTCTTATTCTCCTATACTCCGATCCCTATACATTCCTATGGCACAGCTGGACACATCATTTATTTCATGCTCCATTGTACTTAGCCAATGATGCATGGTTCTGTAATGTTACTAATTTAACGGCCCTCCCCATGTTAAAAGGCTACTCCCCTTTAATTAAAGCATGAGTCTGTCCCTTTATTGCCTCTTCCCTGTGCTAATCGCTCTCACAGTGAGCTGGTCTGAGTGCTGTGTCGATAATTAATGGTTTTAGTTCGGGCGAAACGGAAAGAAAGTGGGGAAAAAGAAGAATAACGACCAGAGTTTAGATGTAGAGGAATGATAAAAGTGAATAGTTTTGAGAGGATTAAAATATTGCGATCTTGGCTGGTTGTTCAAAGTCATCATAAAACATTTCCAGACGTTTTTTTTTTTTAAGTTTTTAGCCTAGACTCAGTGTCTGTGGTCCTGGTATATGAATGTATGTGTATGTTTGAGTGCCTTTAAGGCTGAAAAGCCAAGTTATAGCTATATAAAACTACAATGTGATGTGTGTGTGTTTGAAATAATATTGTTCCAGCTGATACTGTTGTGTCAGGCCTTGTCACTACCACCAGCTATACGTCCCTGGTTGTGAATTTAGTTGTGGGAAATGTTTTATATTCTAAACCAACTACCGATTGTGCTGAACTGAACTTTGACTCCCAAAAACAAGGTGACACATGTTCTAAAATGTCTTCCAGGTCCAGCTAGATCTGTTAGCGTGTAATAATCTGTGTGCTTTGTGTGTTTCTTTGCAGTGTCCAGTGCCAGTTGATTCACCTGTTTGCACGTGGCATTGAAGAGACCCAAGAACAGCAGCAGTTTGTGTTTGAGGAGCTCTGACAATGTGGAAACTCTGAATGTGGTATTTAGATGCACAAGGCTGAGTGGATCTTGGCAAGAAGAACATGCTTTTTTTTTTTTTTTTTTTTTAATTGTACAAAATCAAGTGATACTTTGTGTTTAAAGTAATCATTTTTCAAAGTGATTTTAATTGATGTATTACCAAAATACTGTAGATTGTAAAGTCAGACCAGGTGTCATTGTTGTACAGCTGGTTCCCTGTGTCATTGCCACAGCTTGCTCAAAGTTTGACTGTGGGCAAGAATGTTCTTTTTAACAAGTATCTTATGAAGCCTAAACTGTTCCTTTAAAAGGTAACATGAAAGTAAAAAGTGTTAAGAGATTTTTATAGACAAAATATGTTTATCTGGTGCCATTCGGCGTTTGAAATGCAATATGCCCAGTTTTTCTATCTTAAAAGTGACTTGTGCATTTCTTTGAAAATATGTTTTCACTATGCATCTAAAGGAAAACAGAGTTCCACATTGAGCAAGACTGAGCTGGTCTCCACCAACAATCTTTTATTTTTTACCTTTTGTCATGAAGGACAATTCAAATTGAATATTCTCTCAGAGAGGCATTTGTGTTTTGGAAGGCTGGTGAGCCATAAAGATAAACTTAAAAGCACACAAGAACAAAGCACTCAAATCTGACTGTTAAACTGTGGCCCAGGAGAAGTTGATTTTAGCCAGGAGCACTAATGGAAAGCGGAATACAGTGCTAATACTCTAACATTGCCCCAGTGGATTGTGGGTAATAAGCCGAAGTGGTGACTAAGTGATCCGGGGCTTCTCTGCACTGCTGCTCTGCACCTGTGACTCTGAGATGTGATCTTCACTGGTAAAAACCAATGACAGCTAGATCAGCAGCTGAGGTTATCCATGTTTACAGCCCTTTAATCCTCATTAGAAATAATCTGGTGATCTGGAAATAAACCCGGTCTGTTCTCAAATATATTTAATACATTCACTAAAATCATTTAAAATCACAAACAAGTACATAAAGTGTAAATTCTACATATATATTGATAACTTTATGCACTAAATATATATGCATCAGACAGATTTTTTTGAATAATATAATTACTTGAATGTGTTAAAGCATGAATGTTACTTGGGTCATCTGGAGCTGGCCTTCACTTGATTCAAATATTTTTATCATGTTACATAGTTTTTACTGTTCCACCCAAGAGTTCAACTCCAATTTACAATTGTACTAACCTTATTTCATTCATACAGTATCAATTAGACTTGGCCTCGCACTGTATTATGATGCTTTTTATCTTCATTTTCCTGAGGTGGTGCGTCCTTTGTCTCTGCACTTGTTCATTTCACGTTGTAAAAATCGTCTCTTTCTGAATGTGGTCCAACTCCTAACACAGGCCTATAATGTTTCACCTTCAGCTCTACTTTAGTGAACTTTGGATGTTCTTCTGGTGCTTTTAAATCTCTGAAATGTACAAAACACCGCAGAAAGACATGAGAGAGGGTTCAACAAAAGCTACATATTTATGACTGAGAAGAAAAAAAAAAAAAAAAAGTTTTGCAAGCATGTATGCAGTGTCTATGTACTGCAAGCATGTATGTGGTGTCTGTGTCTGTCTGTGTGTAGATGACTAATTTATTTGAAAAATAAAATTCTTTGAAATTACATGTTCATTCTTTTTAATGATCGCTTATGTCTAACTACGAAAAAGTTGTCTAAACCTGTAAAGTCTGTCCTTTTATCTAATTTGAGATTTTAATTTGGAATTGTGAAATGAGAAATATAATAGGACTAATATGAGACAATGAATGATTTACAACATTTCTAAAACACAATCAAATTTGTGTAAAAGCAAAGACAAATGTGAAATTACTTCACACAAGAAACTCAAATTGAGCTAATTTAGATTTCAAATAAAAATAAATTACATCTTCCATGTTTTAGTTGTTCACAAGGTCAGTGAATAACTTTCTAAGTGCAGATGTAGTATAAAACTCAATATTACAGTTACACCATGTTAATCACATTATCGTTTAGGCTCTCAAACCACACAGACCACTCCTTTTGTTCTACAACACAAGAACACTGCAAAAGCTATATGGTAAAGCTAATGAACCTTAAAATCACAATCTTAAAGGGCCCATACTATGTTATTTTCAGATGTCTCATAATATTTCCTGAATAAAAACATACCTGCATTTACGTTTTGTTTCTTTCACACAATTTTAACACAAAATTACCTGCATGTTTAGGCTTTAGGGGATTTTGTCTTAAATGGAAAATACCCTCTTTCACCTTGGGATGTAATGTGGTAATACAGGAAAGTTATCATCTAGAATTGCCTTTTTTTTTCTTTTCTGAGTTTTGGGGGTGTAGACAGACTAATAATAAAAGGCCACCCAAATGTGAATGAAACAAACACAACTTCAGGGATGTTTGTGACGAGGTAACAACATTATAACATGACTTGAAGGTCACAAGACTCGATTTTGTGTAATATAGGACCTTTAACTTTGTCTGGTCTGTTGTCAGTGGTAATTTTGTGTTGTTTGCTTGATTCGGGTTTAGATGCATTGGGCACCACCAGCCACTAGGGGGGTTATTTTTTGTTGGCTTTGTTACTTTCACATTCTTGGAGATGTTCATGAAATATATTTTGTCATTGACCTGGATCAATTAAGGAATTAGGAATTTTACAAGCTTGGCAAAGCAGTAGGCCCAGAAAAGCATCTTGTATAAGAGATCCAAAAATGTCCCTCATCTGATCTGTGTATACACAACTTTGTCTCACCGTACTTTTGTTCACAGAAAACAGCTCTGCCTTGTTTCCAGTCACAGCAGAGGGATTCTCTAGCCTCTCATCTCCTCAACAGCACCAAATTGTTTTCCTCTCCCCATTGTCTGCTCTTTCTTCTTCATTTTCTGATTTTGCCACTTCCTCATTGATTTATCCTCCATCTGTGTGTGGGGCCCACTGAGGACTGCTATCTCATTCCCCTGTCCCACCTGAGACGCAAGGTGAGGCTGGAGATGCACACACACACACATGCACGCACGCACACACACACACACACACAGAGAACAGGGAGATGGGGAGATGGCCTGGATTCACCGCTGTCCTCACCCTAAGAAACATTTCCTAAAGGGACACGACGGAGCAGGACGGCCCCCTGATACTCTCATTCACACTCCCACCCCCCTCTGTGCTGCTGTCACCTTCACACACTAAGAGGTTTGTCCCACATAAAGGAGCAAATGCTGATTTAAAACATGTATTATAAGCCCCAAGCCTAGAACCAGACATCTCTCACTATACACTGTATGTTTGTGGGTTTGGAATTTATTTTGAGGCATAAAACAGTCATTTAAAGCAGCTATGATTTGGATATCTAAATTGAATAGACCTTTTTTGTTATCGCACTTGCTTCAGGCATTGTAGCAGATTAAATGTTTGCAGACTCATATATTCAGCTTTTCACTTTTACATTACTTCCGATGCCCTTCTTGACACAACCTTTTAAATGTATCTCGTTTTGAGAATACCGTAAATCCGGAGAATGCATCTAGTAATGAAGGAAACGAAATGATCTATTACCTAATAAGGTAGTAAAAAACAATTTCTGAATTTCATCAATAAAACTAATATTGAAAGTGAATACTCCATTGGGCAAGTACTGACAAAAACAAAAAAAAATCACTTGGGATTTTAGTAGTTAGTAGATTCCTGAATGGTCTATTAGTCTAAGACCACATGGTAATATTAAAGAAACTACTATTATTTTGTGGTGGAAATTGCATTCTGTTGTCTAAAGGATGAATGTGGAGCCTTTTCCTTAGAATCAAAAATTTGATTGTGACAAAACACAACAAAAGAAAGTGCTACCTTTCTTCTCTACTAATTCTTAGGATGTATTCATGAACTGCAGCTTGTACCTGTAAATACATTCTCAAAACTTGGGATCAGGAACTACCATTTGTTGCCAGAACCACTGAAGACGCCTGAAAAGAATGTCTTGTCACCTCCGAGAACATACAGAGAAATAATTAAAGGGCCCATATTGTTGTCTGATCTACGTTATAATATTGTATGCTCATCAAAAACATACCTGGAGTTGTGTTTTGTTTCATTCTCACAATACACAACTGCTGCATATTTAGGCTGAGTTCTTCTCTCAGATAAATAACAATCTGTTCCACCTTGTGATGTCATGTAGTAATACAAGTGCTCCACCATGTTTTTAAACTCCATACACTTTCACTGGAATCATTCGGATAATTTCAGCCCTGAAATTGCCAATCTCTGCTGAATAAAAGGTAAAAGGTAGCTGTTGACTTGAAAACTACTGTATCATGATATCACAACGGGGAATAGAGCATTTTGAGCTTTGGAAATGTAGAATGACTAACAAATTACTCAGGATTACTCAAACTCAACTGCAGATATGTTTTTGATGAGGTAACAATATTCTAACCAGTCGATTTTGCATCATATAATTATATTTTATTCAGATCTTAGACCACAGAACTAGCACTTTACTGTTTTATTCTGTTGTTTTAATGTGTTTTACTTGTCCTTGGCTTTTTGTTGTTTATTATATTAACTGCAACTGCAACTCACCTCACCATAAAATCAAATACAAACATTAATAGTCCTGTATGGGCACATGGGATTGCCGTGTGATGAAACATAAAAATCCAGACTTGATGATGACTTGGTCTGAGCAGGAAGATGCTGCAGAGTAGGTGGTGGACAGTTGAAGCACTCCTGTGTGTATTGATTGAATTGGTCTCCCTGTGAGAGAGTGCGATCAATGAGGCTATAACAGTCCATCTTCACAGAGAGGAGCCTCTTATCTCCCACTGCCCATCGCCCACACACTCACAAGTTCCACCACCAGCCTGGACCTACACAGACTACACTGCACTCTCTGTCTAACACCTGAGATATGGACCCAGATATATGGAATCAATAGAACTTTCAAACACTGGAGTATTTTGACAATCGACAAGGGCAGACAATCTTTCCCAATTAATCAGTTTTTTCTGCTTCTCCAACAACATAAATTAATTAAAAATGCCTATAGTTGCCACTCAACTTTTTTCATCAGAAAGCAGTAAAGCAAACAAACACATAGTTTGTTAATGCCAAACCTTTGATGCAAATATAAAGCGTTTAGCCATCTGGACAATTTATTATCTCAAACATGGTTCCTGCTTTCCTTGTGGATTAAACACAGTGCAGTAGTGGCAGAATATAGAATTAGTTTAGCTGTTGTAACTTTTTAGTCAACACAGCAACTTTAAAGGTGCACTGCATAACATTTCTGCTAGAGGGTCCGCCACCTGCTTGTCTCCATGGAAATGTTATTGCTTTATCTAGACAGAATGTTTCCCAGTATAGATTAAACCTAGATAAGGAGGTTACAGCACTACTCTAGATTACAATTCAGATCTGTGGAGAGTCACCCCTATTCTCAGAAGGAATTTTTCTATTTTTGAGCACTGGAAACACCTGTAATGAATAAATGCCAGATGTATATGTTTAAATTCATACTATGGAATATTCCAGGCAAAGCAATAACATCTTCATGTTATTCCTTTCAGAAATGTTGTGCACCTCTAATTTTATGTATACATTTTAGCATTTTATTTTTTTATTTTTATCTTTTTATATTTAGTGTGGTTTTATGTTTGTAGTTATATTAGGTAATGGATTTTTAGCACTCAGAGATGAAAGATGAAAAGTCTTTTATAAATACAATAATGAATTACATTAGAAATATCAATGTAGAGCATAATTAACATTACTGGAGTTGAAAATGGAAGCCTAACTATTAAGAGCTCAATGCTCTCAGTGTTTCACACATAATGAGAAAATACTGTGACACAAGCTGCACACTTGACTGCTTAAGAACAAATCATAAAATAACATCCTTCATTCTGCTTACAACATGAGATATAGGCAGCTACACTTCAAAATGGACTATGTTTATGTTTAGAATTACATGAAGTTGTCTGAGCCGTCAGTAGGTTCATGGTTGGCAGCACAGCTTTTAAAGATGTCTCCAAACTGTCTCTAAAAAAAAAAAAAAAATCCTAATGACTTAAAAGCACTGCCCAAGAGAATGTTGCCACCTTTGTAAACTCTGGTTGAGTAATTTGCCCATTTTCATTAGTCTGTGCTGAGATGTTGGTGTGTGAAAGAAATATGCTTTACTGTGGAAGGGTGAGACAGGTTTTCTAAAGGTAAATAAATAAAGAAAGAAAGAAAGAAAGAAAGAAAGAAAGGACTGTGGCATCTTACAAAAGTTTTTATACCAGTTCTAAAAAGTATGTATTCTCCAGACAACAAATAACCAATTACTTCATGGTGAATTTACCAATAATTCACAATGAATAATGAATCTGACTTCAATATACAAAAATTATCCAAAGTTAAATGTCTTATATCACGAAAAATTGATTTGTGAGTTTTAAGCCATGTTATAATGTTGCTCTCTCACCATTTTTTTTTTTTTTTACCGAGCATTATTCATTCACTTTATACCCAGTGGTGGTAAGCTACTACTGCAGCCACAGCTGCCCTGGGGCAGACTGACTGAAGTGCAGCTGTCAATCGGGGCCATCGGTTCCTCCGACCACCACCAACACTCAGGCACACACCA